TTGGGGCCCAGCTTACTGCAGGGAGAGAGAGAGAGGGGTTGTTCAGAATTGTAGACTTTACCTCAGAGTCAAACTTCACTGAGCTTCAGGTAAGATATCTGGGAGGAAAATCATATGATCCGAGTACGACACCAAAGCCCGTACGCTGACATGCTGTGCTCTTTAGGAAGGCCTACGAGCCCACCTGGTTATGAACACATCCTCTCTGGTTAAGCCATGTTTGGGCAAGAGCTCCTTCAAGGCTCGGCCCAGCTCAGCTTCATTCTGGTAGACGGCTGCACTGTCAAAGGCCCGATAACCAGCAACCAGTGCTGCGTCCACAGCCCGGTTCACATCTTCAGGAACCACCAACTTGTAGGTCCCCAAACCCAGGAGGGGCATGTGAAGCCCTGTGTTTAGGAGGACAGGGGGGATACCGGAGGCAGGGGAAGACATCTGATCTGAAAGGAACTTATAGCTTTTGTACCCTGTTTGGACTTCCCAACACTGTTGAAGAGAGAGGGAGGGGGGGAGAGTGAGCAATAAATGGGAGATATGAAACACACTCCAAAATGACATTAGTACTGTTTGCTGGGCGTCAAAGTGGAGGACAAACACCGTTACAACGAACCAACATTTGTGCCGCTTTTAGAACATTGCAAAGCTATTATGTTAGCATTGCTACAATGACGCCGTTTATTCGTATTTTCATCTCACCTTGCCGGCGCTCTCAGCTGAATTATTTTAAAGTAGAGGTGCATAAACCGACGATAAGTGTGAACTAACGGAAATTCCACCTTGCGTCAACCTTTACACATTAGAGGAATGTTTACGACTAGGCATACGCTTTACGGCAACACGTGGTAAACTGACATGTCATGTGACAGCAACCTGTGTGTGTGTGTGTGTGTGAGAGAGAGAGAGATGCAGAGACGGAGAGAGAGAGATATTTATGACAGTATTTAATATGTAAATGGTAACTGCCGTAACTGATATGTTGCAGTCAGCAGTATAGCCTACTGAAGTTTGTCCAGTGGTGTATAAAGTACCCAAAAGCCATACTTGAGTAAAAGTAAAGAGACCTTACTGGAAAATGACTCCAGTAAAAGTAAAAGTCACCTATTAGAATATTACTTGAGTAAAAGTCTTAAAGTATCTGATATTTGTTGTACTTAAGTATCAAAAGTAATTTTCTGATATTAAATGTACTTAAGTATTGAAAGTAAAAGTACAAGTAAATGCTGTTAATAAAATGCAAAGGGTCAGAATTTTGAGAATTATGAAGTTTATTCTTTTAAGTGCTGTGGCCACCATGACCAAGGACATGGAGCTGTGTTGACAATAATTGGGTTGGCTGTGATCCATCCAGGAGCAACAATGTTCAACATAATATATTGTACATAAGTATACTTTTGCATCTACTATGAACTTATCATCATAATTCTCCGAAAAGCAATATGACACTATGAAGGAGTTGTAACAGTGCGTTTATAAGTATGCTCATTCCGACTAGAGGATGTAGAGGGCAAATGCATCATATTGTGTTCAGCAAAAAATATCCACTTGATGCATCAGGTCAGTGTTGTGAGAAAGGACACCTGCCTTGTAAACTCCTGTGGGCCTGATTTGAACACAATAGGCAAAGGTTTTGCTCAAGCTGAATCTGCTACCATCATAACTCCATCTGATCATCCACAAAATGACTCAAATATCAAAACATGATCAATACTAAAGCAGCACCGAAAGTAACAACCCAGTCATTACTTGAGACTGAAAAATGTCCTGTTCATCTTCAAAAGACAATTCTAATACAATGTAGCTTCTTTACATTCTATTAGAATGTAAAGAAGCTACATTACATTCTAATAGAATGTAAAGAAGCTACATTGTATAGAATGATTCTATTGAAGTTATTCCTTTTTTAAATGTTTTAGACGAGTCACTAATCACTTTAAAAGAGTGATTATAGCTGATTTAACTTACAGACATGAGATTGATCTTCTCATGTCACTCTCTTTATACAATGATATTAATTCATCCCCGTTTTATTGATATCTTACGAAAAGTTACTCCTCATTTTTCGTGAGTTTTTCCTGCAAAAGTCCAGCAGCATGAGTCTGTTTTCGCTTGTTACATGCATACTGTCTTTCCAAAATAAACTTCCATCTTCACAGGAAACAACTAAGGTTTAGGCGATGAAACTACTTAGTTAGGTTGAGGAAAAGATCGTGGTTTGCGTTAAAATATCTACGGAAGTGGCGTTGCTTAAGTACGGAAGTCACGTCACAAATAAATCAACATTGGCTTCTCGTTTCACGCACGGCACAAACTGCGGCCTCCTGGAGGAAACACCAGTGTTTGTTTGACCCATCCACCTCTCCTCATCCCACCCGTCCTGTGTGGAATTCTACTCGTGTTGTCGCTCGCTAGCTATAGCATATAGCATCCTGGGCATCACTGGGAATCTAAACACCGCGGCTTTGAGAGCACTTGTTTTGCGCATTAACGTGATTAACCAATGATTTAACTTGCACGCTAGGACCACAGATTCACCAAACCTGCTTGTTGCAGTCTCTGTTCCACCACAGTCCCCGACGTTGGTCTCATGATTCATTTTGTTTCTAAAGATAGATTTGATTTTGTAGCGAGTAACGAAGGTTTCAGGGGAAATGTATCGGAGTCAAAGTATCAGTTTTCTTTGCAAAATGTAGTGAAGTAAAAGTCAACAGAAATATTAGTAGTAAAGTACAGATAACCAAAAAAACAACTTAAGTACAGTAACGAAGTATTTCTACTTCGTTACTATACACCACTGAGTTTGTCATTACTAGCTAAACTAGCTAAACCAATCCCAGCACTTTCAGTGATGTTATGTCGTCTTGTCCTGTATTTTGGTTGCCCTCTGAACCAACAGGCCATTAATATATAAGTTAATCTGATTATTTTCTGATTTTGTTGTCCAAACCTTATGTAAGCCAGACCCCTGCAGGCCTTCTCCTCCCCTTTCAATGAAACTTGATTCTTCAAAGCTGGTATTTTTTTTAAGGCAAGATGGACTTTCTCTACAGCTGTGAAACATCTGGTATGTGCTGTCCTCAATGAATGATAAGAGAGATTTTAAAGTGTCTCTCTCAATTGTGTAAATCTTCTGTAATTCTCCAGTACAAAGGACACTTTGAAAATTGCATATTCTTTCATCTCAAATAAGTGGTAATACATAGACAGCTCAAATGGGAAAGCTAGAACACAAAAGCCACCGTATTGTTTGTAAGAGTATGATTAAAGATCAGCGTGAGGCAACAAAGAATATGGAAGTAGTCTTAAAATGTTGGCACATTAAATACATTTTTGTTCAGGATACATCTACTGCCTGAAAGGGCTCAGTATTTTATGGCACATGGGTCACAATAAACAGGATAACTTACTCGCCAATGTTGTACAAAATCATACTTGAACTCTCATACATTTGATCTAAATCAATACATTCACCCAATGCATTTGTTATGTAACTGAGTGTTCTAGTGGTGGTTTCCCACCACTGCATCACTGCCAGTCAGAGCCAAAGAGCAGCAGCATTTAAGAGGCATCATGGAAGACAACGTGTGTTCAAATGTGTGGTCTATCAAGCGACTTCTGATGAATCCCAGCAATACTTTTGCCCACAGTCCAAAGCTGACAGTCTGTCCATGTCTGCATCACTCAGTGTGAAGTCAAAAAGCCTGGCATTGTCCTTTATTCTGTTTGGATTTGACGATTTGGGGATCACTGGGACGTCCTGCTGCACAGCCCAGCGTAAGAGGACCTGAAGGGGAACAAAAGACTGAAATGTTGTTGAAATGTTTTGAACACAGAGAAGGTTGTAGTCATAGGCTGGCCCAAAAAGGCCATTAATCAAGATGTGTGTGTGTGTGTGTGTGTGTGTGTTTACCTGTCCAGGGGTGCGTTCACAATTCTTTGCCACCTCCAAGACCACAGGGTCAGTGACCAGCTCTCCTTTCCCTAAGGAGGAGAACGCTTGGAAACACACTCCATACTCCTTACACACTTTCCTCAGCTCGGTCTGGCACAGCTTGGGGTGAAACTCTACCTGAAGAAACAACAACAAAATATATAATGTAAGTATATTATGATATGCGTTATCCTTTTTCCTTTCCCTCTCGTGCATTCTACCTGTAGCAGTGCAGGAGGGACTTTGCAGCTCTGCATCAGTTCTCTCATGTGTGCTGGTGTGTAGTTTGACACTCCGATGGCCTTCAGCTTCCCCTGGGCATGCAGCTCCTCCAGTGTGGCCCAACTCTGAGCTCGGTTGCCTGGAGTCAAATATTAATTAGGAGCTGATCATCAGTGTTACTAAAGTACAAATACATTGTGGAGGAGGAAAGAGAGAAG